ATGGTATGAGAATAAGAAACCACTATTAAAAACAAGTTGAATAAAACCAAGCAACAAAAATCTTTCGGTAAAGCTTAAGCAAAGTGATTTTAGTATTCCCAGGCAGAAACAGTGAACAAAGGCAGCTGCAGGTGAAGGCCTCCTGTCAAATTCACTGAGTAAGACACAAGGGATTAATAACAGTATAACCTATATGAGAAAAAAGATAACATGGAAGAGAGGAAGTTGTTTTCAAAACAGACTGAGGGGGAAATGAAACAGCATTTCCTACAAAAGTGGAGAAAGGCAGTTAACTGTATCTGAGGCAGTTAATGGGAAATCAGATCAATTTTAAAAAGTGGGAGAGTGCTAAATATCCATATAACACACTTGAGTGGAATGAAACAGTAGAAGCATTATTAAATAAAATTAAATTGTTATAGAAAGAGAATTTTAAACCACGAGTATTGAGACAATACAATAAATATATAAGGTAAAAGAGAATAATACTTATTGAGAGTGTTGCTAGAGCACACAATTTACCTTAACATTTTAAAATACCTGGATTCCTACAGTGTCAGAAATATAGTCCATTTTGATGTCAGTAATTTGATGCAGGACGGCGGAAGACCCGAACGCCTGGTGTGATCTGGTCCATGGGGCCGCGAAGAGTCGGACTCGACTGTGCGACTGAACAACAACAAATTTGATGCATGTGTGTCAATACTGATCACCTGAAAATGTCATGGGTGCAAAAATGTTGATCATAATGGAAATGCTATACATCAAGATTTTTGCCAAATCTCTGAACTGTGGAGTCACTTCTTTCACCATGTTCGCTGCAGAACACTCACTAGAACAATAGCACACTTTCTTTTGTACGGGTGAATCTAAAAGGTCTGCCTAAATATTTAATATATTCTTTTCAAATTCCAGAAATAGGGTATTAAATTATATTCTGAAAAAATAGTTGAGAAAAAATAGTAAGAAGGGGGAAATATAATAGAAATAGTAAGTTGGAAGTAACCTAGCCATTAAGGGATTTTTTGTAAAAAAAATGATATACATTTGCTGTATCTAGCTATACAAGCAGTTAACTTGTTGCTCATCACAAAAGCAGCGTAATCAGATAATTCACATATTCTCCCCCAGGTATGCAGATTAATATGACTTTCTAAATTGTCCAAAAGAAAATGAGACCCCTGTCCCACACACCCCAAATTCCTTATGATGACTGAATATATTCTTAACGGACCAAAAAGAAAATGGGACCCCTGAATGCAATACACTAAATTCCATCAAAGGATTGAATACATTCCAGGAGGCATGGAACTTTGAGATTTGTTGAATTAAAGGCGAAATGGGGGGGGAGATGTTCTAAATAATATATTTATCCAACCCATCTCCCCCCTTTTTAATATACACAAAAGGAATAGGATTGCTATGAATAAAATAAGCATTACAGAGGTTCTTATCAAGGACCAAACTAATAGTACCAAACAATAGTGTATGGGGAAAGGGGGAGGAGGAGGAGGGGGAAATCATAGAACCAGTCATGCAGTAGGACTATGAGCACATTGAGAAAGGGGACTAAGTAAATATTCCACGATAATCTACATTACAAATCATTGGTGACATTGAGGTTGCAATTTACTTACCTGGGTGATGAAACCACTGAAGGTTGCTCACTTCCAAAAGATAAACCCAGAAACAGAAAGGTGACAAAGTATGGTCAGAAAAACAAAGACAAAAAGGAGAAATAAGGTGTGCCACAGATGAAGAATAACACCCTTGCACTGGATAAAAAGCGTTGTTGAAGGTGGATGGTTCTGTATAAGAACATGAGAGACTGATATATATGGCTGTGAATCACACCCTTGCTTTTGGAGATGTGCCAATTACACAAGGGCAAGAAACTTTTAAAATGAACTTTTCTTGGCCTCAACTTATTTTCTGCTTCCTTCTTTTGTCTTACATCTGCTGGAGCAAACTTCTACCACTGCAGCAGATATCCAACTTTTCTTCTGTGATTTTGTACCACTGATAAAGTTGGCCTGTAGTGACATATCTCTGGTTATGGAGGCAGTTTTTGTATTGTGTTCTGTATTCATTTTCCCTCCATTTCCATTGAACATCACCTCTTACATTTGCATCATATCAGTCATCCTAAGATTCCTCTCAACCCCGGGGGAGACAAGAGGCATTTTCCACCTGCTCCTCCCACCTTCTTGTAGTTACCATTTTTATGGCACCTTAATGATTCTGTATCTCCTTCCAGAAGGCCCCTTACTAAAGGGATCATGAAAAGTGTTCTCCTTTTTCTATACTGTCATGACACTGATGATCAATCCCTTAATATACAGTTTGAGGAATAAGGAGGTGAAGGAAGCCCTGAGGAAGTGGACTCAGAAATACTGGTCAACACTAGGATTTTAGAAAATTTATTTAATTATTTATTTATTTATTATATTAGATTCAATAGGCTGCCCTTCCCTACAAGGACGGCTCAAGGTGGCTTACAACAAATAATATACAATCTCATACAACTACATTAAAACAATTTAATAAATAACAGTAGATAAAAACAGTATAAATGCAGTGCTTAATATTTATTTATTTTATACATTTATTATTTGCATTCATATTCCGCCCATCCTGTGGACGGGCTCAGAGCGAGTAACATCAGTATAATATATACAGTTTCATTTAAAACACACTAAAACAGTATAATAATTAAAACAATGGGTACTTAGGAAAGCTGTAGACCACTGCCAAGGGGTGCACCAATGGCATTAATGAGAGCTGAACTGGGAATTACCTCGTTGAATGCCAGAGTCACTGTCAGAATTCTATTTTATTGGAGAAAATGTTTAGAATGACCCCAGGATTCCCTGCGGGTTTAAGTTTTAGTTTGCACCTGAAAGCCTCCAAGAGATTAGGTGACCATTTGGCCTCGATTCAATTGAAATTTGCAATTCCTGATGATCTATTAAGGAATAAAACTCAAGCATGGGAACTGAAGGAATGGGTGTTCAAAAAGGATGGGCTTAAGGATCAGGATGTGATGGCACGTTGTCTTACGGCTCCATTATTCAAGTTTTTAAAAAGGGATCATTGTAGGTCCCTGCATTTAGAGAAGTTAACCAGCCTGGAATTAAGATCAGCTTTACAGCTTTAAGATTTCAATCCATGCCCTCAATGATGAGGACTGGACATTTCTTTGGTATCCCTGCCCCCCCTTAGACTTTGTCTTTGTGATATGGGGGAAGTTGATGATATTGTACATTATATTCTGAGTTGCCCATGGCATGAAGCCCCTAGGCTAAAGTACATCATTCCTATTAGTCCGCAGCATAATGGACTCTCCGATCTAGATCTGGTCAAATTTTTACTCTCGGATCTTGACCACTATATCTCTAGCAGAATGGCGTGATTTGCCTTAGCAACAAGGAAAATCAGAATGAGTTTAGTATTTAATGCAAAGTAGAAGGAGTATTGGAGTATACTGTTTTTTTATTGTTTACATTACTATTTTATAGTCTGATGTATTATGTTATGGCCTATGGCTAAGACAATAAACTTATACTTATACTGTACTGTAGACCACTGCAGCTCATGTTCCTAGTAGCTCCAGATGTTTCATAAACTGACACAGCTGGGTGTATTTTTGTTTTAATGGAATGGAGGGGCATTAAATAGAAATAAAATGTTATTCTTATTGTAATACTATCTAAGAAATAACACTTCTTATCATCTGTTGTCCTTTTTATTTTACCTCCCTGCCAAACCAGTATGCCTGTTTTAGTTCCTATACTTTGGTTGTCCATGTGAGGCACAGTGTCCCAGTAAGTGTCAGGCTGTCTCTGCCTGTTATAGTCTAGGAAATCCTAGATGCAAGATTAGATAGAAAGCTCAAAAAGTTTACATCATCGTATGGTTCCACACTTGGTTCCATGGCTGAGATGTTTAGCCCTGAACCAGATAGTCTTGATATCTGCTTCTGCAGGATATGACAACTGACAACCCATATCCTAAATTAGGCTGCAGGAGAGGCTGCAAAAAGTTTCAGAAAAGCCTAGGTTAGTAAGAATTAAGAGTTTCTCCTTCCTTTTGCTACTTCTCTGACCCAGAGGAGACCATGGTTTTATTTTTGCCAAGGGGATCAAAATCTCTGTACTAAGTTTCCCTCAGGCTGTGGTCACGCACACTAAATAATCCACTTTCAATGCACTTTCCAACTGGATTTTGCAAGTTCACAAAGTAAAAAAAAATCCAGTTGGAAAGTGCACTGAAAGTGAATTGAAAGTGGATTATTTAGCGTGTGTGACTGCAGCCCCAGTCCAACCACACCGTGAGTTGGAGCAACCATGAAGCAAGAGTCCCTTCTTTGTAATGCTGGATACCCCCTGCCCTTCCTCAGCCTAAAAATGACATATCCTGGTCCACACCTATGTAACTGTCCAAAATTTGTCTTGAGTTTTGACCCATAACTACAAACAATAACAGAAATAAGCAAGAAGAGAAAGAGAACATGGTCAATGGGGAACAGACTGAACTGGGACTGGTGGTAAAACACACACCAGCTCATAAACTTAATTTTGTGGCTTGTGGTTTGTGAACTGAAGTTTGTGGCAGGTCAATCAGCATGAACTTTCCACAAACTTTTAAGTGGTTCATGGTGTTTCATGGCAGTTGATG